GATCATGTGACCATGGGGATGCTGCAACGGTCGTAAGTGCAAGAACTGGTCATAAGTCACTCTTTTCCCTTGTAACTTCAAATGGTCACTGAACGAATGGTGATAAGTCGAGGACTACCTGAACTCTATAGCAAGGGGCAAAGGGGATTCCCCTTTGGCCAGTGGTTTTCAAATTGTAATTCATGTTATTTGTAGAGGAGAGAAGTAGTTCACTCTGCCTATCCAGAGCTTTAGCTGAGTCAGTATGAAAACATTCTTGGGAAAGAGAAGGAACATTGATTCAACTGTCACATTCTCCAACTAGGCAAACTGAAACAAGGCAGTGACTTAATGGGCCATGTGTTGATTACATTTGCAAATCAAACAACAGGACTAATGGCTCAATAAATGAAGTGCATAGGAAAACCCATAGTAAAGTTTCTGCCCCTTGAGTTTGAATGCTGGCTATGGTGCAGAGACATCCATATAGCTTTGGTGGCAAGAATATAAAAGTAGATTTGCATCGTCTTTTTCCAATGTATTTCTCTAACTTCTCACTCTGCTCCACAGCCCTGGGATTTTCTAGTGATCTTCTTCCTGCAAAGTCAGTTAGGTAATCATGGGATCCTTGATCCTATGGTTTTAAATGGATAACTTTGCTACCATGAATAAACAGAATTAATCTTGTCATTTCAAATACTGCATCATACTTTGAATGGGAGGGGATCACAAATATGGGGACCAGGAAGATGCTCCCAAAAAGTCTTGTATTATTGTTGTTGTTGTTCAGTCACTAAGACAGGTCCAACTCTCTGCAGTCCCAGGGACACAGCATGCCAGGCCCCCGTGTCTTCCACCATCTCCCAGAGTTTGCCCAAATTCATGTTCATTGTATCTATGATATTATCTAACCATCTCATCCTCTGCTGTCCTCTTCTCCTTTTTCCTTCCATCTGTCCCAACATCAGAGTCTTTTCCAATGAGTCATCTCTTTTCATCTGGTGGCCAAAGTATTTGAGCTTCAGTATCTGTCCTTCCGAAGAACAGCCAGGGTTGATTTCCTTTAGGATTGACTGATTTGATTAAGAGACTCTTAACAGTCTTGCCCAACATCATAGTTTGAAAGCATCAATTCCTTGTTGCTCAGTCTTCTTTATGGTCCAACTCTCTACAGTTAATGAATTCTAAGCAATGTAACTCAGATGTAAATCCCATTCACTTCAAAGGCTTTGATTCCTGATAAGTTGTTGATGCCCTGTTACCTATGAAAAGGTCCTGTTAAAAGGAGTGATACTTATGTCTCAATAATACATTGAAGTACAAAATAGCCTACCTCATTTCAAACAAATCTGGCACGATAGATATCCAATCCAATCCATCTAGGTTTGAGGAGTAAAGCTACATTTGATATTTATTCAGTCACCTAATGTTATGTGTGAAGAATTAGGACCACATGTTAAATTTCAGTTAAGCTGATTCAGTTCATGACCATATACAAGAATCTAGTTAATTAATGGTCAGCACTAAGTTGGCGCTGGATAAGAGTCAATGGAATTCAAGAGGATTTTGACTTAGGCCACTTGTGGGAACGTAACAGCTCCAGGCTAATTATTCTCTTGAGTCCATCCCAGAAATCTGCCTGTCCTTCTCCTACACCAGATATATAATATGTCATATCCCACTCTGAAGGAGCTGACAGATGTGATCTTGGAATCACTGAACCATATCTTTCAAAGATCCTGGAGCATCAGGATCATTGGCTTTGCATTGGAAAACAACTGATGTAGTTCCCATCTTCAAAAAAGGGAGGGAAATGACCCAAGAAACTACAGACCAGTTAGGTTGATATGAATACATGGAAAGATCCTGGAAAAGATAATCAAGCAATGGGTCTGTGAATACCTAGAAGCAAGCAAAGCTATTAGTAGAAGCAAACATAGGTTAGTCAAAAACAGATCATGCCAAACAAATTTTATTGCATTCTTTGACAAAGTAACTAAATTAGCAGACCAGTGAAATGCTGTGGATATATTTGGACTTCGGTAAGCTAATTGGCAAAGTAAACCACAACCTACTTCTTGGTAAGATAGAAAAATGTGGGATAGATAGCATCACCACCAGATGGATTCATAACTGGCTGACCAACTGTACTCAACGTGTAGTCCTCAATAGAACTATGTCCATTAAGTGAGATTTTACACATAAGCAAGAAATACTAAACACACAGGCATAGAGTACTGGTTCAACATGAGTAACTGTGAGAGGGGTGGAAGCATCCTAAAAAACAACCCCTTTAATATGAGCCATCAATGTGCTGCTGCTGTTGCCAAAAAAAGCCAATGCAGTTCTAGGCTGTATTAAGAGAGGAATAGTACCAAGATCACATGAAGTATTAGTATCTCTACAGTATATATTGCACTGGTGAAACCACACTTAGAATATAGCATGCAGTTCTGATCACCATAATACCAAAAAGATGTTGAGATTTTAGAAAGGGTGTAGAGAAAAGAAATAAAGATGATTAGGCAGCTGGAGGCTATGAGGAATGAATGCAGGTACTGGATATGTCTAGTCTAACAAAGAGAAAGATGGGGGTTACATGATAGCATCTTCCAAAGAAGAGGGGGTTGACCTATTCTCTAAAGCACCAGAAGGCAAGACAAGAAGTAGCAGATGGAAACTTATCAAAGACAGAAGCAACCCAGAACCAAGGAGAAATTCCCTGACAGTGAGAACAATTAGTCAGTGGAACGCCTTGCCTTCAGAAGTTGTGGGTGCTCCATCACTGGAGAGATGGGACAGCAATTTGTCCAGACTGATATATGATCTTCTACTTGGGCAGGGGGTTGGACTAGAAAACCTCCAAGGTCCCTTCCAATTCTGTTATTCTGTTAATATTTGTCACCCCAAAAGTGTTTTTCAAAAAGGCAACTGGATTTTGTTTTTTCTTGAGGACATTTCGCTTCTCATCCAGTCCAGTTGCCTCTTGAAAAAGCACTTTTGGGACAACCATGACTTGTATGACTGAGAATCTCCAGAAATGTTTAATAACTGTTACTTTTTCCTGACCAGGCTGGAGGCCTGCTCATACAAACAAGCTTCATTATAGCTTCATTACATGGGCTGCAGCTTCCCTTCCATGATTTGACTATTTCTTCTGCCAGGGTCACAGTCCCCTCGGCATCATTTGGTGACCTGCTCTGATTTTTAAACACCCACAATACCCAGACAAAATCCTGAGGGAACATATTAGCTGGAAACACAGGGAATAACAGCCCTGTGTTGCAAATCACCATTCCACATCTAAAAATGCAGGCGTGAACTTCTATTTTTCACCCTCCTGCCCCCTGATTTGAGAAACACATCCTCAATAACCTCTGCAGTGATCACTGTGAGCCTTTACCTCATATTGCTCATCATTTGCAGATAAAATCCAATTCAAAAGCCAGTTAGCCCCCTGCATTTACATTTCAAAATCACCCTATTCTCAGGCATCTTTAATTATTCATCCCTGCCAATTAAAGTTATGATCAATTGACTCTTCCTGAGTCTCCACTCATGTTGCAACCAAATAATAGTCTACATTCTATGCTCTGCATCAAAACACTGTAATAACCTAATATTACACTAAGCAATACTCCACTGTGATAAAATGCTGGAAGTTATCTCGTTCTATTAATAATGAAGGACCGAGAAGTAATGTCCAAGTTAATGCAAATCGAATGAAGGTCCAGGATAACATGTCCCAGGATAACGTTGCAGGATCCAACCTGGATCGGTCTCCAGGAACAGAAGTTTCGTCTTCCGAGTTTTTGGACTCATAATGGAGCCCATCCTCAGGGAACTTCTCTCTCACCAGAATGTGTAATACAAATATACAGATCTTAATACAAATCTTTTTTTTTATTCATGTCAGGAGCATCACAAACTCCAGACAAATAACAGTCAACACTGAGGAAATAAAATAGGTATAAAATAGGTCATAAAAACATAGCATGTGTAAAAGTATGTAAAATAAGTAGGATTAAAACTAAACGACATTTTTGCCCAGTATCGGGTCACGTCAATATCATTGTCTCTCGCCAACATGTGGTCTTCATACATGTTGAAGGACGTTGTATGTACCGTAGCATATGGGAGATGGGTGGTTCTTTTCCACATTTACATACAAAATTAATGCTAGATACAGTGGTATTTATAGTTAATACAAATATCATTGTATTTAGCTGTCATTTTTGCGAAGGGTGTTCAAAGGCTGTGATAAATGACATTTTTTGGAGTGATCCAATTTGCCATAAATTTATCAGGTGGGCTTCTTGCTGAGAACAGGCCCCTTCTGAAGAGGTAGCATCTCATGTAATTGCCATTTTATCAATTTTAATATTTTTAGCTGAACTCTAGGATTATTCTATCACTGGGAGATCATTTCTGAATACTCCATGTGGGAAACATTTGACCTAGTACCTGGGTCTTGTCATAAATATTACAATGCCCATACCTAGTTTTATGCTTGTTGCCACTACAAACATTCTGTTTTACTGTTAAAACAAACTCTATTTTTTCTAATCAAAGTATAGTCAAGCAAGAAATGTGTAGTTTTTCTCACCTTATTAAAGGCTTGGTAACTTATTAATTATGTTTTGAGGCCTGTTCTGTTTTCCAATGAGCAAATAAAGTTTATTCCCAATTAAATGTGCTTTGCATCAGGTCAGCTGCAGAAAATTCCATGCTATTCTTGTTGTGGTGTTGGTGATAAGATTCAGATGTCTTCACAGTTGAAAACTGCCACCCCCTGGGCATATTTGTCCTTTTATCTGATCTGGCCAACCATTTGTTTTCTCTCTGTAACTTGTCAAGTTTCCACATTTGTGACACCTAAAATGATTGCAGAAGAACATTTTGAGGTCCAAGGAATATGCCTGGACATCTAAAATATGCAAGGCTTTCAAACTATCACTGTGCATCCAGGGTCAAAAATGACCCAGCTGTATCACTGTTGCTCATCCCTCTTTCTTTGCCAGTGTTTGGACAGAAGAGACGCAGTGCACACTCCTCAATATCTCCATCACGGAAACCTTTAACTGCTCATTCAGCTGTGGTCCGGAGTGCTCGAAAAACTCTCAGTACCCCTGCTTACAGGTCTATGTCAATGTTTCCTCTTCAGGGCAAAAGTACTTACTTTACCACACAGAAGAAACCATCAAGATTAATTCTGAGGTAAGAACATCATCAGTTATCAAAAGAAATGCACTGTTTCGGGGACGGGAGGGATGAGATTTGGGGTGCTCCACTTTTTGAGTCATTGCTGTCCAGATACATGGAATCAGATTGCCCTATATGCAATTTAATCCCTAGCTGTGTTTTTTTAATTTCCGATTGAAGTTTCTAGTCCTCATGGCTGTATACAGCATGAAAGATAGACAAAACATCTGAAAGAGGTCTATTGTGGCCTTAAGTACATAGGCATACAATATCTGTGTCATGTGTCTGACTAATGAAACACTTCAAAGAACTTTCAGGCATGGTTTAACCTAAAAAGCCTTTTATTAGTGTAGAGGGGTGTCAGCATGGCATGGTGGACGCCAAGATCTGAATTTCCCTTCTTTTGCACACAACATTCTAGGCATTTCCCTTCCCCTATTTTGGGGTCATGATTCACATCTTCCAATTAACCTGGAGGGCAAAATTCACTTCCGTTCCTTTTCCCGGGCTTTCCTTATAATTCTCCTCCCCTTTCTCTGTCATCTGAATTAAGTCTAAAAATACCAGACAGTTCTGCATATTTTGTCAAAGCAAGAATATTCAATATTAGCAGCATTGACAATCTGGACCTCAAAAATCCAAACAACCACTGAATGGCACCAGAGTTAGAGCTTTCTGTATTTCTTTGCTGTGGTTGGGTGGTTCCCCAAAGGGTAGCATTAAATATCTATATTTGTGGAGTCCTTGGTACTCTCTGAGCTTGGTTGTTTCCTAGCGGACATTTCATCATGATGTTACCTAATCAGGTAATGAAATGAGAGTACCAAGGATTCAATTCAACCCTGAGCTACAAATATTTTTCTTCTATTGGTACATCTATATTCTGCATTTATTTAATTGTTGGGACTGGTTAGGTTCATATAGGTTTGACTAGGCCAATTAGGGAATGAGTGACTGTATTTGCCCAGCAAACTACGCTTGGTTAGTTTTCAACTTGGTTAGTTTGGGAGGATGATGTCTTAGTGTGTTGTGTGAACCTCATTAGGTCAGATGATGGTTTACTTTACAATGTGAACCTAAAAAATAGATTAGTTCAGCAATTAATTGCACATACACTGTGTATTCAGCCAATTACTCTCTCTACTTTAACATTTGTCCTCCTAAGAGTCCTAACAGACTGAATTTATCAAGTTTAGTATAAAGTAAGACTTTTTCTCTTTTCTATATGAAGCTTTTTCATAGCTCGATGAGTTTTCTCTGAGCACAATCTATATATTGCTTTTCACTCCTTTAGTCTTCCCAAATCTAAGAATAATCTAGATCAGATATGTCAAACACAAGGCCCGGGGGCCGGATGCGGCCCGCGAAGTGGTTTCATGTGGCCTGTGAAGCCATCCTGGAAACTGAGGGAACGGTCCCCTCTGCCTTAGCCACGAGTCGTAAAAGAGCCAAGGTTGCCTGCCAAGGTTGCCTACCCCTGTCCTATACCATTTCAGACAAATGGTTATCCAATCTCTTCCTAAAAACATCCAGTGTTGGAGCATTCACAACTTCTGGAGGCAGATGGTTCCACTGATTAATTGTTCTAACTGTCAGAAAATTTCTCCTTGGTTCTAGGTTGCTTCTCTCCTTGATTTGTTTTCTTCCATTGCTTCTTGTCCTGCCTTCAGGTGCTTTGGAGAATAGGTTGACCCCCTCTTTGTAGCAGCCCTACAAAAAATAGACAGTATATACATATAAAACATATATATATATATATAGATGTCCAAGAGCTGTGGTGGCACAGTGGTTAGAATGCAGTACTGCAGGCTAACTCACTGCTCACTCCAGGAGTTTGATTCTGAGTGGCTCAAGGTTAACTCAGCCTTTCATCCTTCTGAGGTCGGTAAAATGAAATTGTTGGGGGTAAATATGCTAACTCTGTAAACCACTTAGAGATGGCTGTAAAGCACTATGAAGCAGTATATAAGTTTAAGTGCTATCTATCTATATCTACATCTTCCAGCAATATACAAAAAAAGAATAGGAAAAGGTGTTCCAGAGAGAGCATGGATGCATATATTCCACATGTGAACTCCTTAACCCATCTTATTCTGGGCTCATAACTTTTGATTCAATGAAGTACCCAGAGAATGCATCTTTTCCTCTTTAAACCCAGATCATACGCCAGCCCTAATATAACATATCCTAATAACATAGGCTTATCCATTTTTAAAAAAAATTCAAAAAATTAAAAACTGTCTTCTATCATCAATTATCTAAACTTGCAGCAAAGTCCCCCTTTGCTAACCCAGATGGGGCTCATGTATCACCCTAAAT